TGAAAGTAATGTAGACAAATAGTAATTATTATATACTGTTTTGGGAACTGTAAATTGGTAGGAAATTTCTAGAGGGAAACTGGCAATTTATTTCAAAATTACATATTTGTGTACTTTTGACCCTATGATTTTTATTTCTAGGAACTTGCTCTTAAAAAATATGTGGACACATGTATGAATGTGCATTGAAATACTAACTTCTGCATCTATTATGATAATAGGACATAAAATATTTTCAAGTACTCAGCTAGAAAGGATTTTGTTAATGAATATGATATATTCATCCACAGTGGAATACTATGCAGTCATTATAAGTGATTATGTGCTTATTGACATTGGGAAGATATTCAGGATATATATAAGTGAAAAAATGAGACTACAAAACATCTTACACAGTATAATGTCATATTTCCCCCCAAAGTGTGTATTTTCATGGCTATTCCTAAATGCAACATGAAACAAATATAGAAGTATCTATCTACCTACCTACCTTACTCATCACGTTTTGAAGGATATATATATACAGTGGTACTCTCTGGATGAAAAAAATATAGATCATATTTACTTGGATGATATTTACTTTCTTCTTTGTGGATCTTCATGTTATCTAGAGTTGTTACAGTGTTTATACAATACTTTACGTAGAAAGTCAAGGATGGAATTGGGCTTGAAGTAAAAATTTCATTTACTTTCTTCCTTTCTCTGTATTGGCTGGGTGGTTCTATCCTTTGACTGTTACTCTGGCACTGTGTCTTTGTCTCAACCTAGAAGCAGCCTATGACTGACTCTATGTGTAAATGAGTTTGACGTGGAAGACTGAGAACTAGGTCTTTGAAGACCTGCTTTCTATCCTGTGTCTGTAACTGAAGACTCAAGTGGACGGAGCCAGATAACCCAATTGTGGGTATATGAAATATCAGAGGCAGACCTCATATTTGTTAGCGCAGGTCTCTAGGTTGCAAACCTAGTGCTCTTTTTTTTAAAAAAAAAATATTTATTTATATATATATTTACATCATTGTTCATTTTAAAACAATGTTCACTTTTGTTCACTTTTCTTCCCCCCCCCAGGTGTAGTTCCCTTAGAATTTCTTCCCCCAGTTCACCAGTGCACCATCACCACAGTCCCCTGTGCCCCTCTCTCCCTCCTTCCAACCCTTCTTCCTTCCCCTCCCCTGCAGGATATCTCTGGTTTGTAAATGTCTTTGTTTTTGTTTTGTTTTATGTTATTATTTTTCTTATTTGACTCCCCTGCATTTCTCCTATAAATGAAGCCATCTAATATTTTTCTTTTTCCTTCTGATATATTTCACTGAGTAGCATCCCTTCTAGCTCCATCCATGTACTATGAATGGCATGAGCTTATCTTTTTTTTTCTGAATAGTATTTCACTGTATATATATATACCACATCTTCTTGATCCAGTCATCTATTTTGGGGTATTTGGGTTGTTTCTAGGTTTTACCTATCGCAAATAGAGCAGCAATAACATAGGGATGCAGGCATCCTTTTGAAGTAATGTTTTTGTGTCTTTTGGGTAGATCCCTAGGAGTGGAATTGAGGGGTTGTCTGGTAGCTCCAGTTTTAGTAATCTGAGGAACCTCTAAACAGCTTTCCATAGTGGAAACTGGTTGTACCAGTTTTCATTCCCACCAGCAGTGTAGGAGAGTCCTTTTCTCTCCACACACATCCTCCACAACACTTGTTACTCTTTTTTTTTTTTTTTTCAAGC